TGATAAAGGGGAATAAACGTTCTGAAAATCAGAGGAAATGCTGACCGATAGTCGAACTACTTAAAATTTTTGAAAGTAGATTTGCCGTGTTTATTTATCAGGTTTCTGAAACGAGTTACCGCATTACAAAAAGGGACTTCAGAACAGTAAAAATATTTTAAAGAATTCCTTGAACATTCTGAAATTTCAAATTTTTGGCAATTTATTTACATCAATTAAATGACTTCGACACGATGTTATGTTTGACTTACATAATTCTAGAGCCGTGGCTCTATAAAAAAGACATATTATTTAAATATTTTTCATACATAATACAATGTATTTTATTGCAAGCCATCTACCAATTTACCGGTACATTGAATTGTGAAAACAATTTATTTGTCTTTGTTCCGTCATGCGTAGAGTCCGGCGAGGGTCTAGGAGATAATTGATTGATTACTCAAGGTGAAGCCCTAGTAATTAAGTGTTAAAACTTTTTGAATTGAAAGACGATAGAATTGTTTGATTAAAGTTTCAGTTAGAGAGAATTTGTGTGTTTAGATTTTCTAATTATCCCAACTCTTACTGTGTCGGCAAAATCTTTACTGTGTCGCATGCATGAAATTTGAATCGTTACTGTGTCGGAGAAAATTTTACTGTGTCGGGAGCAACACGGTAAAACAGCTCATGGAGAACCCTGCATGTACCATTGCACAGAATGAAGTGACAAAGTATCAATATTATGAAAGTTGACGAAAATTGATGATATTTGTTCGGAGAGTGTTCTTACAGACACTAGAGGAGACCACTCTTTCCTGGCCTGGTTCAATAAATGTCATTTTTATGTGAAAATGTTTTTTTTGTCGTTTTAATAGTGTCGAAAGGGTACATATACCGTATTCTTTGGTTGTTGTTTTTTTTTCAAAAGTAATACCACTGTAAAGACTAAAAAATATTTTAATATTGTTTTTAAACTTTTTTTTACATCAATCTTAATATTTTTTTTGGATATTGATTACTTTTGAAAAACAATAAAGAAAAAAAATGTTTGTCTTCCATAAAATGTTTAACCCAGGATAGTGATCTGCATATCTTTATTAATACAAGTAATAAAGATGTCAGAAACAGAAAATAAATAAGAAACTTTAAAAGAAAATATTTAACTGGAAACATACATTTTCCAACTTTCCCCAAAATTGTCGGTAAATTGTTCAATCATAAAACCGTTAGATGGTCGAATATTTCTTCTTTAGTAAGAAGGGCTTCAGAATACATAAAGATAATTCACTCTCTGGGGAAAAAGTTTGTTTTGATTATCTATCCTTAAAAGTACATTATACAATTTGGAGAAAATATGCCAGAAAAAGAACATGAACAATACACTTAAGGGAGCCGACTATAGTTTTACTACTAATACTTATAACGTAGGTGCAAATTAATGGATGCAATTTTATAATTATGGTTTAAACAATTTTAGCATGTTAGCGTAATAAGGAAATTAATTGTAATGTTTTTTCAAATACAATTTTTAGCAGCTAATGTATTTGGACCAGGGTTTGTTCCTTATTTATGAAAGTAAAGGTTGTGACAACAATTTCTGTGAAAAATAACTGTATGTCAAAGGTTACATACAAATAGAATAGAAGGAATTTTTAATCAAAATAGCGGTCGTTCTAAAAAAATATTTTTGTTAATTGAATTGGAACTTTAATTTGCTGAAAAACGAACTTTTAAAATTTGACTTATTTATGTGAGAACTTTGAAGCTTGATTTACTGTTATAAAAATACTTAATAAAATATTTTATTCACTAAGTGAAAAAACATTGAACTTTTACCCTCAAAAGTAAAAACTATAATACTTTGATTTACTATCTTGTAATAGCCTCTGATTTATGTTTGCGTATTATAATTTAGTTCCTAAGTTTGATATTTAATTGTCATCATTCACAAAAGCTTCAGAGAACACTTATTAACCCGACCTTTTCCCTGAAATAATTCATGCACAAGAAATCATTTTTGATGAGAGGTTTCTTGCACTTCATTAAAAAATTACATTTAATGTTAATATTTCCCCAATGACAGTATTTATATTGATTTTTTTTATTTTCCCCCTAGAAATGATTCCTTTTGCTAGAACTTGATAGTACAATTAATGCTACGTATGCTTTTTGGTATTCCTTAATCTCGATTTCCTTAATAAAGCAAATGTATTTGTACAAAATCGATGCACCTGAATTGCAGCTCACAGCAAAGATGTACGTCTCTAAAATGCAAGTCAGGTAGATGACCAGTAAGAAATAACAAGGCCCTTGTATAATCCATTCAAACATATTAATAAAGGCAAACATTTTTTTTTATTTCAAAAGTAGATCAAATAAATCAAGTCCATTGGTCAATGCTCGAGAAAGTTAGAAGTAAATAGTGACTTGTATTATTGTAATTTTTGCTGAATCCTCTATATCTTCAAATTTTTACAAAGACACTTGTAAACTTTCCCACACGGCAAAGAGTTGATCCACTCGCTGAGATAAAAGAAACTAAAGAAAAGAAGACTATATTTGGTTGTGAAGATTTTTTATTGTAGGTAACTTAGTGGTACTTTTATCTAAGGGTCAAAATATTGCAGAACTTAATTTCTGTGTAATGCAGGTAGAAAATTACGCGGATTTCCTAGACTGTCCTTAAATATCTTGCATGCATTTTAAGTACACTTGGACATATTTCCGCAGAAAATGTGTGACCACGTACATAGCGTAAAGTAGTACCACGCGGAAAAAGTACTTCTACAGTAATTAAAACTTTGTCCGGGCATCTCCTCTGAAAGTGTTAATGAAATTGAATCAGATGGTGGTACTCTGTGTTGTTGAAGTTCGATATTATCTTTTTATTATTATACATTGATAGAAACATTATTTCTGTAACAAATGCCTACAGCTGTAGCATTAATTAATTTATTTCCTCTTTCCCTTTGATATATAAATAATCTACTGAAATGATACTTTTGACAATATTTATTATGGTTTCCAGATTTACAATTGAGCAGGAAGTTAAAATGTAAGCTTAATTATACAATATAAAGTTTTCTCTATCATTTGCAGTTAGCGTGCTGCTAAATTTATTCCTTATTCTATTTGACAAGGACATAAAAAGTCGCAATATGTGTAAAGCATCATTCCGAAACTTAATGTTTTTATTGCTTTTGTCTTCAACTGAAATTGTATTCTTGACGAACACTACAGGTTAGTAGTTCATTTAAAATCTCTCCAGAAATAATAAGAGTATATAGAAAAACCAAGCTGATCTGTCCATACATATTCTTCATTATTTCTTTTATTATTTTTATTTAAGATTGTAGTGTGGGATATTTTGGACCAAAATGTGAATTACCCTGCCGATTCCCAGGCTTTGGAGAGGATTGCCAGTCGGAGTGTTCATGTGCCGAGCAACTTTGTGATCATATACATGGATGTATAGGTATGATTATTTATATATTTTCAACATGTGCCACACCTAGAAATATGGAGTAGAAACTGGGAAACACCTTAGTCAATACTTTAAATTAGGTATGTCAAATCGGTCAAATTTTGATAATCGATAACTGTAAACCAACTATTATTCGCGTCATCTTTTATTCGCGATTTATCATTTTGAAATAAATCCGCGACTATTAATTTTCGCGACTGTTCTTTAAAAGTACAAATGAAAAATATTGGTTTACGGTAATTAATATTGACGCCAAAAAAAACCCAACGAAATTTTAAAATAGCTTGCTATTTCAAACAAATTCTAGGATATTTCTTCGATTATTTTATGTAAAGGAATAAAAGTTAAAATACGAAAGATACTCAAATGGAAATTTTCGGAAAATCGAGTACCGGACATTCGTTAAATTGTAAAATATTAATGTTTTAAGTAGTTTAGCCCAGATTAACCCCATCATAGATTTTTTTAGGTTTGCCTAGGGCAAACATCGAGCCAAACGAAATCAATTTCTTGTTCTTTATTATATAGCTAAAAAATAGCCTCTATTAAAATGCTACCAAAAATCAAGAGAATTTTAGCGTTCAATATCTTGACGTTTTATTGAACGCTGATCATGAGTTTGTATTACGTGTAGGAGTATGTCCGAAACATTCCGAATACGGACGTTTTATATCGTTGTAAAAAAGTCGTCTGGTCAAATTCTCAGAGCTAAATTGAAGAAAGGAAGTGGCATCTAGGTAAGATGTGTTTATTTTTTCACACAACAATGAAATTATTTATTAAAATAGAGTACGTATTAGACCCATTAAAACCTGAACAAGCAAATCATATCGCTTGGTAGGGTCATCGAAATGATGCGATATTGAACGCTTACAGGACAGACGTTAATATGAATACCGACACTAAAAAAATCATTAATCTGAGGTGATTTTAGTAGGAAATTATTATAAATTATGTGGAAATGTTTAAGCTATATAATAAAGGAGTTATTGAACTTATATTGGTGAATATCGGCACTTGTCGGCTGTTCAAATTTGCCAATATAACTTGTGCCAATATTCACTAATATAAGTTCAACAACCCTTTATAATATTGATCTTTCAAAGCATCTTTTTAAATTAATAAATAATTATGAAAAAACATATACGGAGCAACTGAGTAGCAGTTTTAGTATTCGATACTCGGATGTTGGAGTGGCTTGTTACATGTAACTAGGAACTCGTTGACATCCTTCCTTCTAATATTGCCTCACAATTGAATTTTTCTTCAATTCAAAATCTGATATACGTGTACAATCTGATAATGGGATTTATCTCAAATAAGGAAAATTAAAAAACTTTGATCTGCGAGTAAAATCGATGATTACTAAGGATTCATACTCGTTAAAAAAGTTTTTAAAAAGCAAATTTGATAGAAAGGTTCAAAGTTTCAATTTTCCCATTACATTATACTCGTTAATAAAATTTATTTTAGTAATTGTGATAATACAAAAGATCCTTTATCAGTATAGTCATGCATAGTATGTTTTTTTTTCTAGAGTGTCCACCTGGTTTCCAAGGAAAGGCTTGTCAACAAAATTGCTCATATCCATATTTTGGTTTAAATTGCGAGTCAAAATGTAAATGCAGAGAAGAACAATGTAATTCTGTGATTGGTTGTGAAGGTGAGGGGTACGGAATAGGGTATAATGAAGGTAAGGTTTTCAATTACTATAGTAACATGTTCAATATTTGTCAAAATGAGTGATTAACAGTTTGCATCAAATAGCAATGACAATTTGAGCTGCATTATAACTGTTGTCAAACTCTTACATAAAGAGCAAGAGTCATGTTGGGCCTTATTTGGCCCTGAGAATTTCCGAAAAATCGAAACCGCTCAGTTTAGGTTGCAAGTGTAGTATTTATTTCTTGGAGTGTTGGTGATCATGTGTCTATTAATTGTGAAATAATTTTTCATCTAGTCAATTGATTATGACGTCATCAAATGCGCCATTTTCCTCATATTGTGTAAATTCCTTTAAAAATGGCCTGAAATTGAGGATTTTTTTTAATATTTCATAAAGAGCACAACCTCTGATCCAAAATATGCAAATATATAATGAAAGCTCTGTTTCTCAAGATCAAATGACATGTTTTATTTTTTGGATTGTGGGCTGTGCTCATATTTAAATTGTTTGCTGAAGGTAGTCAAATACGCATATTTTCTGCAAATTTCAAGAACATTGCAATTTCTCAAAGCCTGTTTTCAAATATTTCATTATACATCATGAAAGCACCAAGTGTCTACTTTTTTTTGACATATAAAATGGAAAAGAGGGTGATAGTTAATTATTTCATATAAGTACAGGGCCATTTATGCATAACTTGGCTCTACCTCTTTCCCTTAATCTGGAGATTTAAGAAATAGATAACAAGTTTATAACTTTAATGGGAATTGAATTGGGTCGGTCATGTGATCAAATCCTGTGAAGGCCTTCAGAGGATTTGATCACGCACCGACCCACTTCAATTCCCATCAAAATTTATGAACTTTTTATTTATTACTTATATATACATTTGAGACAGACAGTTTAATACTTTTGAATTTAAATTATTGCACTAACCGTCCGCCGTAGATTTTGAAAAAATCACACAAGGTGTAAATCGGCTTAAATGGCGGTTACGCTTCGAATCCATTGGGCAATATTTTGTGAAAGGCTACTTATGATCAGTAAAAGTGAACATATTGTTGCCTGGGAATATTTTCATTCGAGAAAATTGATAATCGATTCTGAAAAATCACAAGAAACACCTTTGAAGTTTGATGATAAAAAGTTGAAGGAATTTCGCTCGTGGGAAAGGGATGGATGGATCAGATTGATTGAGACACTTGTCCGAGCCATTTAATTTGCAATTTGATCAAAAACATTCTACAGTTTCAATAACTAAAGGCATACTTATCGTAAAACACTGAAACACACATAGATACTGGCGACAGCTTTACATTAACTACGAAAATGCCGAGGTGTTGGGCAGCTGTTCATAGCAATATTGCAATTATATTTTCCAACAGCTTTACAAATTTATCGTGAGTAGAATTTAAAGATAAAATAATAGTTCATCATGAAAATTTAACCAAGGTCTACCCAAACAATAAGGATGAACATTATAGACTGTGTGGCTGACGAAAGTGAAGAAAATGTCAACAAACGCTAGTTTTCTTTATGTACACAGGTTAAATCGATGGCCAAAAATGTATCAAATACTTGTTTACATTGTAAATAAAAAGTAACTATTTTACCTGCTTATTTTATTCATTTTTATACACGAAAAAGAAGTGGAGCAGGTCATTTTATAATATTTATGTACCGGTAGATATTATTGCACCGTGTGATTAGGTCATGTATTAACCTCTGACCTTTGACAAACTTCATACAGAAATGAAGATATTTTCTCTCTATATCTTTTTTATAATGGATACCACAAATGTATATATAAGACAATGAAGAATAGCATACATTGAAACACAAAAGATAAATGAAAAAGTTATTTTCTTAAAGTTTTACATTGAGGGTCTATAATCCGTTTGCAACACATCATAAAAAGTGTGAACCCAATCAGAAGAGAATTTTTGCCTGAGAGTTACATTGTTTCAAAGTATACGATATACATATATTACTTAAACTTTTTTCTAAGATCCCTAAACCTATTTACTGGTCTTTATGAAAGAAGTGAATTTTTATTTAAAAATGTTTATTTTTTTAGGTTGGGAAGACAACTGCACTTATGAAAGAAGTTACAAAAATCCAAACGCACTCCTTTCTAGCATTATTGCTCTTTGTTTTATAGCACTCATTCAGTTTATTTTTTATCTTTATTTTTCAATTTTCTACAAACCTCGGTTGTTGTACATCACGAGGTTTTGATGTAATATGCATATATTTAACTTATGTTTAAGGATATATGATACAAACAAACTTTTGTCAAAACTACTGAAAATAACAACCTGAGTCATGTTTCAATGAGTAAAATGAATACATTTAACCTCTTGGTTTTTCACTTTTCATTAACATTTTCACAAAAAGGGAATTTGAATTGAAAAATATTTGTATGGATTACATGTAGTAAGGATGGTTACAGAAATGTAGAATTTTGAACACCATAGAATCTTTAAAATTTTTAAGATGATGGAAAACTATAAGCTGTATTATTTGCAACAAAAATAAACCCAGAAATATATGCACATCCCGGTATCCATTTTTCTTTTGTTTGTATCATTTCTCATTAATTCTGCTTGAACATTATGCACAGATTCTTTCTTAAGAATGTCCTGTTCTAATAAAACAGTTAAATCTCTTATGACAGAGTAGATAATACCATTTGATTTCCCTTAAAATAAGGATTATATTTCATATCCTACTTAGATATAAATTACATTATGATAATAGACATAGCTGAATATTTAGTGAGATTTATTCGTTTATTTCGTGTGCAAAAATAAAATTAAAGTGATTTATTCTCATGAAAGGGTTTTTTAACTTCTTTTCAATTCCTTATAATTAATGTCAGTTTACATATCCAAAGTTTGGAAACAATGATTGATAAAGAATTTTCCAATAATTTACAAGGCGTTGACTTTCACTTGAAATGGTGGAAAACAGGACTGGGCCAACTTAATATGTATAACATTACTGATAGTAAAGGCTATTCCGTTTTGGAAAATATGCCTTTAATGAACATACATGTTTCCTTTGCAAAATTATCATCTATGAAAATTCTAATAGCTGTTGATTTTTAATATCCATCAAACTATGATCTAACTTACATGTAACCCTTTATTCATGTGTCCATTGATTGATTGATTGTGTAATGTTTAACAACCCTCTCGAATTTTTCACTCATATATGGAGACGCTATTCGTGTATCGAAGAATCTCAATAATTTTTTTCTTTTTAATGAATAGACAATTTTAAACTATGAAAGAGCCAGTGTACAAGGCCGGTGCAACTGCGTAAACAGAATTTTGCGAATAATTCATGAATGTCGATTGTACGACTGATGGCTGTGATTACTCTTGCGTTTCTGTTTGTCATTTAAAACTTCCTTTACACTTATATCAGAACACTCTTAACTAATTATTTCAAATCAGCTTCTGGCATTCACCTCATTACCATATGTGAAGACTGTTTTTTATGCTTAATCCAGTAATATGCTATTGTCTACGGAAAGGTGTTCTCAAAGATGGGCTATAAATATAACCGCAAATCTTTTCTAGATTTTATTCCTACTTCCATATTCACAGTTTACATTGCTAATACTTGTAAATACATGTAGATGACTTTTCGTTATCGACATGTTTGTAGAGAAGCTGTTTGTCCCTATCTTAAAGATCTTTGTCGAAATATTCTTTTTAGGTGACACCTTGGTTTCAACAATGTATCTAGGTCCACAACGGGTGCTCATGATTTCTATTTAGATAGAATTCAAGGAAATGCTTTATAACAGGAATAGATCATGTTTTCGTTTTATAAATAAAATAATAACTTCCTGTAAGTGAAACTTGAAAAAAACATATTAATATTCAATTCGATTTTTCCGTAAATGTCACAATATGATATTTTGAAAAAAAAGATTTAGTGTAAATTAAATTTCGAAAATCCTCAAGATAGCGCTTGTTCAAAAACATTGTTATTGTTTGATTGTATGTAACATATGGTTGAAACGTTTGTTACCAACAGCAAGTTATCGGAAAATCATTACTATAGATTATTTAAATAAAGTGACATTGCTTTTGATAATAAACTTCCCATATGTAACCAGTAAAATGTCATCTTTGACACAACATTACGAAACAAGTTAAACTATCCTTTTTGACATAACAAATCCAGATGCATGTATTATGTAGTTTTATAATCTTTGTCCAGAGTAAAGTAATCAGTTTGTTACTATGCATATAGTTCACTAAATTCTCTATTTTTATTTGTGCCTCCAATAACAAAAATTAGCCTACATACAGAAAAACGACATTTATTAAGTTTTTTCCGACTGTCTACAGAAACATATCGGGTTGATCAACTCCATAGACGGTGAGGTTTCTAAAGACTCATAGCAACATTTTATAGGGGACAACTCTGCACATCCCAAAAAAAAAATAACAAGGACGAAAATAGAAAATGCTGAAAATTGCCTTGAAAGGACGTTAATCAAGAATACAAATAAAAAAATAAATGTATCTTTCAACAAAATGGTTTTTAGTATGCCATAATTATGTATACCTTATTAATATTCCATACATTCAATTCAATGCTTAGAAGATTTAAAGCAACAAAGTTTGGCATAAATTCATATTGATGGTTGATTATGGCCATTCATACAGTAAATGTAAAATAGAATTCAATTACAAGTACAAATAAAGATGGTGTTACCCCTAAATCTTCAAAAATTAAAAGCGCTAATTATGTCTCTATATGCATAAATTGTTGTTTACTACAAAAAAAACTCTATAAGCAGACATGTGGAAGCGGTAGCAGTAAGAATGGAAATGACTGACACAACGGTTTGTTAATTAAGCAAAAACATATATAATCAAAGATTGTAAACGTAAAATAATTATATGGCTTATATATTTCCACATAAAAAGGAAATAGAAATGTTTGTCTAACATATAACAGCACATAAGCATCTTGATATGATTTGGAATACTTGTACATTACATGTTGTTCTATTATTTATTAATTACTCGTGATGGCACCTAGATGTCACATCTGTGTTCTGTCCCCTGCTGGGTAAAATTCAGACATGCAGTGCAGTTCTGTGTTTTCACAGGCTTCTCCACTTTTGACAATACCCAGCTGTCTGGGCCTAAATAGCGTTCTGATTTTCCGTACGTTAATTAGAAGTACTTCTGAATGTCTCCTACATTTGACCAATCACAGTTCTTCTATTTCTGTTACATAGTATATTGGTTGTAGATAACATCGCAAAAAAATTCCATGGCCATCCCGCCTTTTTATTTGGCTTGGCATATTTAAAGACAAGATAATGCAAAATGCGTAATGCGTTATTTAGAGCTATTCTTAAAAAGCAAGACTCGGTTAAAACGAAGTCGCTGTGACCTATGAAATTACTTCGCTATATCCGTAACTTTTAATAATATGTAATAAAACATTTTGAAATATCGAACAGTATTCAAAAGGTCCATAAAACAATACAAATTGGAGCAGAGCAAACACGAACATCCAAAATATCAGAAGTGGGATATGGTGACATGGATGAGTGAGCCTTCCTCCGGTCACACCATTCTTGTGTTCCTTGTAATGATCGGGGAATAACGGAAAATCAGTCGTCAATTCAGTGTACAAATAAAGACTAATAATAGGTATAAAAAATCGTCAGTCAACATAAAACTCAATGATAAATTGTACTTGCTGACACCTTTATTGTATTGTCCATAGAACTTACTAAATGATGACTTGAAACGAGAGTATGTTATTAATAAATAATGTTGTTTAAAAGGCCAAAAATCTTTGTTTGAGATGAATATCCTTGTGTTGAAATCGTAAAAAAATATTTAATTTGGAAATAAATTGTAAATCTGTAAATTTACTGAAAAGAAAAACGCAGAGTTACATAACATGCGATTTTTTTACCGCATTCCTTAAAATAACAAAAATTGGTCAGATGAGAATCATGGTTACTATGCAAATGAATTAGTGCTCAGAATTACTCAACTCTAAAATGTATGACGTCACATAAGAAAAATGCTCAAAAGCCCCAAAAAGTGCAACTTGATATGAGAAGTTTTTCAACGATCTTCTCGTATCATTTGATGCACTTGAGGTATAGATATTGGTTTCAATATCTGCAATTTCTTGCAACCTTGTAAGAGTTGATGGAGGTTCCATTGGGTCTGGATTTTATGTTGCCTAAGTAAGGACAAAGGCAAAAACAACTTGCTGTGCAGTCACTAGTAAGGGCCTTGGATGGTTTTCAATCAACCGTGACGATGACGTTGACGCTAAATGAAGCCACGTCAAAATTGGGTTATTCGTCCTGTTACCTGTTTTAATCAACTTACTAACACAAAGCCAATTAATCGAGTTGGTAATCATAATCATTGCATTCTTCATAAAACTGAAAGAAACTGGTAGTACGATTTGGATCTTTGAACTGAATAACTTTGCGTTGGTCTTCCTCTCAATGGCGCAATCCCTATTTTTTGTTTACAAGTACTTGTATTGCTAGGCAGGCATACGTAGTATAATATAACAAAGCATTATTGAAGATGTTAAAGGAATCTTAACAACTTAACTGCTAGTCTTTAATTTCTCTGAAAAATATTTAAAGGAAGGGGGGTTAACATCCGTCTTCAAGTTGCAAGTACTGCTATTGTATCTTGATAAAATAAGACACTTTTTTGACGTATGCAAGTCTTTTTCTTGCTTTTAACGTCATTATTGTTCTTTAGCATTAATTTTGTAAGAGCAGGAATTTTTACAAATAAAAGTTTCAATTGAAGCGAGAGTGTTTTTGATAAAGCATCTACCTGTTGATAAAGCTTAGGTTTATACAACGGGCTATATAATCCACACGTATGAGAAAAAAGCGTATTATTCACCTTTAAACTTGTAAATCTATACCATTAAAAAGAAAATATATTTTACAATTTGGAATTGTGCCGTTGGATGTATCTTTCATTAGGCTAGATCCAAAAATTATCTTACAAAATGCCAGGTTTTTAACATGAAAAACAGTCGAACAAAAAAAATTCTGTTATCATCATGCACTTTATATATTGAGTGAAATTATTGTACAGAAATACAAAAGTTTTCTGATTCACACTTTTTGAATCAATGCAATCCAGGAACTACTTAAAAAAGTACAGGTACATAGACGACTATATTTGACGAGAAACCACAAAAAAGGATGTATTCACTTTAACGACAGAATTTACCTATAGCAGAGAACAATTCCCCGGAAAAAGTGACATTTAAAACTCGATCTTTATTTGTTGTTTTCTACCGTATATATGTCTAAATTTTTCAAATTTGTATTTCAAACCTAAAATTTATTATAAACTTTACAATAAACCTCCAAAGTTGACCGAACACTATTTTGTCCGTTAAAGCGTTGATTTGGGCATGAATTTTGGCCTTGAAGCCCTTCAGGGCAGGTCAGTCCCTAAATAAAATTGTGGTATTTTGATAGGTTAGGATGTAAGGAATAATTTGAGATAACATTTTTTAGGGACACCCCTGCCTTCGGGTCGAAATGTTAAAAAAAAACTACAAAAAATAAGTAAACCCGATTTTCATTATCTGCTTTAAATTTGTGCCATTCATTTTTATAGTCAGACTAGCTCAGTTGATATATACGATGACTTTTTACACCTTTGGTACTTTCTTTTTAAAGTCGGGGA